AAAATTTGCAGAAATAGGCTGTATTCTTTGATGGAGAAGTCATAACATCACATTGCAGAAGAGCTTATGGAACAGGACGTGGTATAGTCATTTGGGAATTATAAGGTGTGCCCAGAACATTATTTTCTGGCAACTCAGTCATTTAGCATTCACTAAATGTTACTCTCAAAAGACTTTGTGTACTGGATTTGTTAACAATCCATTTTACTCAGCATGAAGCTATGGTTCAATTTTGTGCAGTTGATTTTACACTACCCTCCTGTAGATAGAAATGAGGTCAGACTTTCCCTCTGCTAAGGGGTAAGACCTTCCACCCATCTCTGTATATTCAGGATTAAAAACAAATATACCAAAATCCAAGCAACAAAACCAAAGAGATAAATGGGACTATATCAAACTAAGAAGCTTCTATACAGCAAAAGACACAGTCAACAGAGTGAAGAGAATGAAAAGAATACCTCACAAACTAAGCAAGTGTTAATCAGAATACACAAGAAACAAACCAAAAAGCAAACAACACAAAGCAAATTCAGTTTTAAATTGTGTAAATCTTCTGAATAGACATTTCTCCAAAGAAGAAACACAAATGATCTATAAGACAGAGAAAATGCTAAGTTTCATTGGCCATTAGGAAAAGGCAAATCAAAACCACAGTGACCTATCAGGTTAAGGGAGACTTTAGGTACTTGGAGTAACATTAGGGAAGCATTCTCTACTGTGAAAAGAAAGAAAGCATCTTGCTTAAAGCCTTTAGGATAGTGAGCTGTGGGAACCCATACCACTTAGGTCAAAAGCCGAGAAAGCAACCATAAGAGAAATGACTGAGGGCTTTTCTTATATAGAAGAGTTGCTTCTTCCAGATGTGGTGTGGCTCACATTTAAACTAAGCTACTCAGGCAGTGAAATTAGGAAGACCAGAATTTTAAGCTAGCCCCTGCAAAAGGTTTCCAGACTCAACCAATAAAAGCTAGGCACAGTGGTACATATCTGTCATCACAGGTATCAGGAAGATCCCTGACCAGATGGAAGAACCTATTAAAAAAATAAAAAGGGTTGGGGTCATGGCTTAAGTACCTGCCTAGCAAGTGCAAAGTCTTGAGTTCAAGCCCCAGTACCACAAACAAAAAGAGGAGTAGCGTCTGAATGTTACACATCACAGACTTTAAAGGCCTTCTTAAAATCTAAGATTTGAGTCTATATGATGCAATTTGAAGCAGTTTGTGACAATAAAATAATAGTAAATATTCCATATATTGTGTAATAAACAGTATTGATCACAAAACCTCAATCTTGTCAAAAATTTTCCCTCTACAGAGATATATTTTGGCAAGGAAATAAGTATGGTATAAATGATCACAAAGGCTGTTCTAATACCTTGTTAATTCCATTACAGTACATAGCATTAAGACAGAGCAATTAAAGGGAGAAGAGAAGAGCAGAGAGATATGAGGATGTGTGTCAGATGAAACAGTTCCTCCGAGGTTTTAAGTGGCCCCATCCTGGATAAAAGAAACCCAAGCAGAGGCTGAAGCCAGGTATGTAATCCACACATTGAATCCCAATTATTCAGGAGGCAGAGGCAGGATCCTGAGTTCAAGGCCAGCCTAGGCCAAGTTAGCAGAGAGACCCTGTTTCGAAAACAAAATAGGAAATACAAGAACTGGGAGCATGGTCTGAGAGATAGAGCACATGCTTAGCCTTTGTGAGGTACTGGGTTCAATCCCCAGAATCAGAAATAAAAAAGAAAAGAGAAAGGGGAGGCTGAACAGGTTGCTTACCAATTCCACCAACAACCTCTCTTTCTGGGACTCTGGGGACCAGCCTCCATAGGCCTCTGAGGAGCTCCTTTGTGGGAGAGCTTGGAGGCCAGGGGACAGCCACTGGGCCTCTCCAGGTCATGTCTGAGGTTCTATATTTGTTCACATGTTCAGTCCCCTCTCCCAAGCTGAGGCATACTCTGCTTCTAAAACTTCAACCCCTGCCCTGCCTGTCCTGAGTCTTCATGCCAGAGTGCCCTGTTTCTGCATTTTGCTTTTTCCTAATCAACTTATAAAATGCATGTGATTTACCTGACAAAAAGGTGTTTGCACTAGCCTTCTAGGCCTTTCTTCCCCGATATCTGGTTTAGCCATGTGGTCATTGAACGCTTATCACAGAGAAGAGGCTCTGCCTTACTGTCGTTCAGTGTGCCCTTTGCTTAAACAGGTTGCTTTCCAAGTTGTAAAAGTGTGGTGGTGAGATCTCCTTTTGTTTGAATTTTTGCTGTCATTGCTGTATTTTTTATTATGATCATTAAAACAAGAAAGCAAGCTTTCTTTCTTGAAAAAAAAACCAAAAATGAAACAAAAATAAACCAGTCCCCCACCCTGACTCTTTTTGGGAGAGAAGGGAAGTAAATTAACGTATTCTTGTCATGCTTCTTGTCTTACTCCAGGACTTATGCACACTGTGCATAAGGCTGCCTGTATAGAAAGGTACAACAAAAATGAGAGAGGATCCTGGACTTTCAAATATTTGAAAATAGGATTGAAGTCATAAAATATGACTGGTTCTAAGCAAGTTGTAATGCAGGATCAGGCTCACTGGGCAATGTACCAGAGTCTTTCCCTGTATTGCATATCATTGAGAAATGCATGATGGGAAAAGAGCCCAGAGCCTGGGTCAGTCTGCCCTCCTTTAACCCTAGCTTGTGATCTCTGTGCCTTTCATCTGTAAAACTGCATGTGACAAGCCATGATCCATAGTGGCTCATGCTTAGAATCCTAGCTACTCAGTAGGCTGAGATCTGAGGATCAGATCAGTTTGAAGCTAGCCTATGCAGGAAAGTCTACAAGACTCTTATTTCCAATTAACCATCAGAAAACCTGGAAGTAGAACTGTAGCTCAAAGTGATGGCGTGGCATCCTTGAGCAACAAAAGCTCAGTGTGCATAGGGCCTGAGTTCAAGCCTTAGGACCAGCATAAAAAAATTCAATGTGACAATAGGAAAATTGAAAACATATGCCTCATGTTAGAATTATTATATGCATGTTAAATTTCTTGAGAAAGACAAGGAAAGCAGTATCATGGCTATGTAGAAGAATCTTTTCCTTTCCTTTCCCTTTCCCTTTTGCCTTTTTCTTTCCTAATCAGAGTCTCAGTATGAAGTGCAAGCTGCCTTCAGACTCACAATCCTCCTGCCAGTCTGTGCCATGGTACCCAGTTAATTTTTTATTCTTTTGCTGACCGCTGAAATATTTAGGAGTAAAGCACCAATGTCTGCAACCTGCTCTTTAGTAGTTTAGTGAAGAAGTATATACATACATAGGCACAGAGACAGGTAAACATTACATACACATACAAGCTCACATGCAGATACACAGGTATATAGACTGGTACATACGTATAGTCACATTCACATAGGTACAGTCACACAGGCACAGCATGGCCGCACAACATAGGTACACACAGGCACACACAGTTATACACGGAGTTGTATACACAGAGACATACACAGTCACACACAAAAGTTGCACACACAAGCATACACACATATAGGCATATACACACAGGTACATAGAGCAGAAGGAGAGCATTAAATGTGCTGATCTGGGTACAATGTACAATAAGAGGGCTTGTATTTTAGTCTTCATACTTTTGAAGGCTTGGTAATTTTCAGAATTAAAAGGAATAGTAAGTAGATGATGCCTATAATACCACTTAAGTACAGCTGTCAAATTAAAATTCCTCCTAGGACAAGGAAGGATCTTCATTTTCACTTGCTTAATGTCTGCACATTGAGTCTATATATATTCACTTTGGCACTTTTCACATTTCCTCCCTGCCTACATTTCCTTCACCACTCCCACGTGAACTGGCTTTCAGGTTTAGGTTAAAGACGTAAATTGTTGAGGCTGCTATCATCCATCTTGGTGTTGTGAGGGGGGTTAGTGGTTTTACCTCCCTCATTCCACATTGTGCCCCATCTAATATCAATTTATGTAGTGGTAAATTTGCCAGTAAAAGCACAGAACAATCAATTAAAGTTGAGTATTAGATTAATAGTCACGTAGTATGCAAGGGCCAATTTTTCATGGGGCATGGTGGTGTTAAAAATCGTTCATTGTTAACCAAATTTAACTACCTTGTGTATATTTGTTAAATCTGGCAAGTCTACAAAAAGTCTCTTGTTCTCTCAATGTGTGTGGCTCACTGCCCACAAGTAGGACAAAAATCTTAGTTATGCAGGCACTGGGGAGAAAATATTTATAGTTCTCTTACTTTCCTGCCTGGGATAGCTTCTAAACACAACCCTCAGATCTCAGCTTCCTGGGTAGCTAGGATTAAGACGTGAGCCACCTGGGTCCAGATATAGTTCTAAAACCATAGTACACATAGCTTTTCTCCTGTAGTTGAGTTGTCTCTTCACAGCCATTTGGTTCACCTGTACTCATGGTGAATCTTTCACTTTTCTTCTTAAATTAGAACACAGTTGAGAAGAATTGCACTTTTATTTGTGATTAAAACCCATAGATAAAATATACAGATGATAAACAAATACAAGAGAATTGGAATGACACCTATTATACAGTATTGGTAGGTAAAGTGATTAATGAATGACAGATTTGCTGTATGCAGTGTCATTAATCTCAATGAATCTCTTTTTAGAAACACTTGTTATACAAGGATATGTTTAGGCAGTTAGCATTAGTGCACACGTGTTAAAACGTCATTCTTAGAGCTGCAACTTCAAGCATTTAATCTAATTCTATCTCATGGATTGTTTTACTGCTTGATAAATGGTCCTGATTTGCACTGACCTTTCAGGAACAACATACCAAGGAAAAGAAAGCAACAAAAATTAGTCTACTGACAGAAACAAGAGAAAAGCTCTTTGGAACTGTAGCACCATCCCACATTATAATATGCACATTTGTTATATTGCACCTTCCTGAGTTGAACTTTGAAAAATGGTAGCCAGAAGCTATGCAAGATTGGAGACTTCAAACCAGGCTAGGCCTTCACTGATGGTAGTAGTAATCTTGACCTTCATAGCCACCATAACTTTGCCCTTTGTAGTAACTGTATTCATCCTCATAGGCTCGGTAATTGTCTCCACGAGGTTCCCCATTTGCAGTGTCATAGACTTCATACCCATTGTCATATTCAGTGTTACCTATTTGTTCATACTCCCCTTCATAATCAGCTGTGGTGGTTTTCCCAAGGGGTGGAGAGGTGGCTCCATAGGCCTCCTGTGGGGGGGTTGTGGGTACTAACCCACCATTTACAGATGTTGTTCTCTGAAAACCAGCACTAGTGGTTGTGGTTCCTCCTGCACTGACTGTACTGACACTTCTTTCTGCACCACCTGCATCATTGTCGCCACGGCTGCTATAATGGCTACTGTCCACTTCTGTGCTGTTGGTGCTGGTGCCATTTATTTCTTGTTCATTTTCATCCACTTCTGCTTCACTTTCTTCATTTTCTTCCTCTTCCTCCTCCTCTTCATCTTCTTCCTCACTTTCCTTCACTTTGGTGGACTTGTTTTCTGTGTCCACAGCCTGAAAGGAAAGGGTTGAAAAGCGTCAAATTTTCAGGCCATCACTTTCTCCAGAACAGTACTTGATACTCATAGCCTTGTTCTCGATGCTATCTTGAATGAAGTCAATTGAATTCACATAAGGGGAGGGTTTTGATCAGAAGAAGAGCCTTTGCAATTTTTGTTTTGTTTTGTGCTGGTCCTGGGGCTTAAACTCAGCACCCAAGTGCTCTTCCTAAGCTTTGTGCTCAAGGCTATTTCTATTTATTTGCTCTAATTTTTAAATATTATCTTTAAGTAGTTGTACAGAAAGGTTTAATTTCAAAATGTCAGTTTATGAGTACAATGCATCTTAATCGATGTCACCTTTTTTTTTGTCAGTCGTGGGGACTGAACTTTGGGCCTGGGTGTTGTCCCTCAGCTCTTCTGCTCAAGGCTAGCACTCTACCACTTGAGCCACAGCACCACTTCCAGCTTTTTTCTGCTTATTTGGTGCTGAGGAATTGAACCCAAGGCCTTATGCATGGAAGGCAAGCGCTCTACCACTAAGCCAACTTCGCAGTCCTATGTCACCTTTTTAAAAAAATCATTCTGTCTCATCTCTATTAGCTCTAGCCCTATCCTTTCAGATTTCATATTCATTTAAAAATATTCACCCACCCTTCCTCTCTCCATTTTATATTTTTTCTTGCTTCTTCCACGATTTAATGAAGACAACATAAAATTCTAAATGCATGGAGTTAGCCTAACTTCAGACTTCAGGAGAGAAATGAAAACAGAGTTAACATTGTGGAGGAATTATTACCTGTTTGGGAAGCTGGATTGCAGCTAACCCCATGCTTTCTGTTCCAGATGTGATCTCTTGCCCATAGCCTGGTGTCCCAGTAGAGAGGGTGGTATTCTCTGCTTCAGATTCTTCGTCTTCATTTCCATCAGAATCTTCATTGTTCTCTTCCTCATTTGAAGTCTCCTGGTGAAGATAATAACAAGAAGTTTATGTGACCAGCATATAGGTTAAGATCTGTTGGAGTTTGGATAACTGCATGGTACAGCATGCTGGGCATGCTGTCTTCTGTATAACATCCATAATGTGTAATTTTAAGAATCAATCAAAATTATTTAATTCTATATATCACAGTAAAGTCTATCTTAGCTATTTCTATTTTCTACTTCATATAGCATATGATCAATTTTCCTTTGCCCAAGGAAAATATTAAACACTCCAAAGCATTCCCAGTAGTTATATAATAGCATGAAGATGTTTCAAAAAATTAACCATCCTCAAATCAACACTTATTGTAGTTGTCAGTATTTTATTGTTTTGCTTTTATTTCATGGTGTTCTTTTGCTTTTGATACATAGTAGACTGAGTTTATCTCCCAGTGTAATTTGTAGCTAATATTCAATGTCAGAATTTCTTACCATAGAATTTATTTGCTTTAAGTACTAGAAAACAGTAAACCACATTTAAATGTATGTTTAGAAGACTGTGATGTTAACATTAAGATTTTAAACAAATAAGAAAGCACAGACTTAGCTTGTCTTATTGAAACAAAATTTTCATAGCAGAATGCTTTTATTATCAAATTTATACATTCTACCATTTTATTGAAAGGTCTTGGTGCTACCACAATCCAGCTCAAAATAATTGCCACTCTAATTATGCCCAATATCCCACACGTACTATATTTTTTATTTTTCTTAATTTTGCAGCTTACTCCAACAGATTCAAACTTTACAGTAGTTGCAGGAGAAATTATTAGCGGCCTTGGGAAGATTCTCACAGGAAGAAACCGAATTAGTTAGATCTTACTCCCTCACTTCACAGAAAAGGGTATGAAGTTCAGTGGGAGAAATGATTTGTATAAGGTCAAATAAATGTCAAGTTAATCACAGGAAAAGACTCAGTCTCTCAATTTTTTACATACTTCTACAGTACTCATTTTTGTCTTATGTAAGGATGCTTTATATCAATCATTTAAAAAGGAACTAGGCCACTGTATTTATAGATATTAGGTTTCAAACCATTTGGTTACATGCATCTACTATCATTGAACTTGCGCACATCTTGTGACTCAGCAATTTCACTTTTAAGTTGAATGGTTTAGGGAAATCAATGAGTGTTTTTACAAGAGGAAGTTCTAGAATGTTCATAACAGTCCTAACTTGGAAACTACCCACATATTCATCAGTATGATGTGAATATGGCACATTCACATCACAATATACCACCAGTAAGATTGAACAGTCTCCAACTACAAAACACAGTGGATGCATCTCTGCCATTGAGAGCAGAAGCCACTCGTAAGAGAGTCCATGCTATGTAAGCCTACAGATCTAGTGTACAAACATGGCCAAAGTAAACTGTATGTTAAAAGTCAAATAGAGATGCCTCTTCTGGGGACAGGGACTAAACAGAATGCAGGGGCTGCTTTTTCATGAGTGCTGATTTCACTATGGATTTAGTTTCTGGAATTTCAGTGCGTTATCCCCTGATGGTAATTTTATTACCCGTTTTAATAAAAAAAACTTTTTAAGCATTGCTGAGTAGATTAGAGGTAGAGAAAATGTACAGTTGCCAAATGGAAAATATGCCTAAGCCCCTTTTTTTATGGGACTCAATATTTAACTTAAATTATCAATTAAATTGTAAAGAAGAAATAAAGTATTTCCAGAATCTCTTGGCAATAGAAGATTTCTAAAATTTATTCTTTTTTTTTTTTTTTTTGGTTATAAGCCTTAACTCTGGGCCTGGGAGTTGTCCCTTCAGCTCTTCAGCTCAAGGCTAGCACTCTACCACTTGAGCCACAGCGCCATTTCTGATTTTCTGAGTGGTTTATTGAAGATAAGAGTCTCACAGACTTTCTTGCCTAGGCTGGCTTTGAACGCTATCCTCAGATCTCAGCCTTCTGAGGAGCTAGGATTATAGGCGAGAGGTGCCTGGCTTCTAGTTTACTCTTAATGAAGGATCTTTGAAGGAAGCTTCAAGTTAAACCACAAATTTTACTTAGCACAGTAAGTAGAGAAAGAATTAAAAAGTATGAGGAGATTCAGAAGACCCAGCACAGTTCTTTCTCCAAAGGCAAATTCTAACTTATGGCCACCTGGGTGAAAGTTGCTGAAAGAATCATAAATGTTCAGAGTTGATTGACACAATTTTGAGTACATATAATCTCATGAGTGCTTCAAGGGAAACCCATGTGTTTTGTGTTTTTTTTTTCAAACTCTCAACCACCAGTGAAGAATCATTGCTAAAAAGTGTTTAATCGAATTGGGAAATTGAGTTGTAAAAGCAGTTTTACAATCACTCTAGAGCAAATAGCTGTGGACAATCCCAGCTTAATTCTTGTGAACAATTGCTAGTGCTCCAGGCAAACTTCCATGGTAGGTAACATTTCCTGGTACTGGTTTAGCATTCATGTAGACCTTCCTTCAAGTTACTAGTGCAGTTATGGAAATGTTACCTTAAAAAAACAAACTAATAACGTGTTGTGTTGCCTTTCAAGTTCCCACATCACTTTTTCAGCAACATTGTCAACACTTATACATGATCCATTTTGACTGTCATTTTCTATTCATAAATAACCACCCAAGAACACTTAAATTTAGACAGTTCTCAAACCAGCCAACTATAATTGACTCTCCAGGAAAATGCACCCAAATTTGTATGTTTCCTTAGATAAGAGTTTCAGTTATAAGCAGAATAGCACAATTTCCAAGATATGGAAGTGAATTTTAGTCAATGACTATGTTTAATAGGAAGATATTTATATATTTTGTCTATTTTTATTTCTGAAAGAATATGAATTTTGTTTTAGACAAAAACAAAACATGAAATTACCATTTAAAGGAACAATGATATCCTGTAGTTTATGGAAGGTAGATAAATCAAAACTACTGGAGAGGATAGAAATTGGCTTTTATACACATACACTGAGAAAGGTGAAATATGCAAGTTTTAATGTTCAAATATTACACTTAGTTTAGGGTTGTTATTTATTTGTCTTTTGCCATCATGTTTTAGCTACCTATGTATAAGCAGTGCTTTCTCCTGTGTTTGAATAGACTTCATATCTCTCCCACTTAAAATGAAGATCCCCCCTTTTTTTAGCAGTAACCCTAATCCCACGATGCAATAGTGTTTTCAACAGGTTATTTAGTTGGCTCCAATTTAAATAACCTGCCACTTTGACCAAAATAAAAGGCTGTGGGCCTCTGGAAAGGCAGCAATAGCTACTTGCTGAATCTAGATTACAATTGGCAAGATTCCATTTGGTCTTTTTGTGCTGCTGAACTCGTTACGAGAAGTCTGCAGGATCCCTTACCTCTCCTTCTTCCTCCTCATCCGAACTGTCACCATCTCCATTTTCTTCGGAAGAGTCACCTCTTCCCTATAAAAGATATACACATAGATGTGTGAACATATATACCTTTGTAAATGTGTATATATTCTCAACCACAATTAAAATCTTTGTTTAATATAAAATACACACAGATATCTGATTAAACTACTTAGTATGAGCTTGATTGATTTCTGTACTTAGATCAGGCTTCATGATTAGGTGAGAAAGGTGTGAAGACATGGATGAATTTGGGATGAGGTAGGAGACAAAGAGGAATTTTGTAACTACTATATGAATTGCTTGAAGGCATGGCTCAAGTAGTAAAACACCTACCTAGCAAGAACAAGACCCTGAGTTCAAAGCCAAGGACTACAAAAAAGAATGTGAATCCAATATTTCACTTTCAATCCCCAAAGCATTAACAATATGTTGGAACATTTTGTGTGTAAAGTGAGCACCTGGGGCTCAAACCTGTAATCTTAGCTACATGGAGGCCTAAGAGTGGAGGGTTAGGGTTGAAGCCAGTCCTGACAAATCTGAGAAATTCTTATCTCTAATTAGCAAAAAGAGAGAACTGGATGTGTGGCTTAAGTGTAGAGTATCAGCTTTGACTAGAAAAGTTGAGAGAGAACTTGAGACCCTAAATTCAAGCCCCAATGCCAGCAAAAAAATTCAAAACACAAAAGTCACTTTGTATATAAAAAACTTGAAGTGCAGAATTGTTAAATTCTAAAAGAATGAAGGGATTATTTGTCCAATAGTTTAATTTTTAAAGAGATGAAATAAAAAATCCCAAAATGAAGCTAGGTGCCCTGTAATCCTAAAATTCAGAAGGCTTGAGATCTGGGGACTGGTTCAAAGCCAGCCTGGGCAAGAAAGTATGCTCTTATCTCCAATTAACCAGCAAAAAGCAGGAAGTGGAGCAGTGGCTTGAATGAAAAAGCCAAGGGACAACACCCAGGCTCTGAGTTCAAGCCTCAGTACTAGCACTAAAAAAAGAAAACAAGTCCAAAATGTTGTGGCTTTTCCAAGTTAGAGCACCCACTAATTGTTTTATTTTGCTTATGAAATATAAATTAAATGATGATATAAGTTGTTATGAGAATATTCTTTTAAATAATGAGGCTTTCAATTATTCTAAATTACAATTTGATTGAAAGAAATTAAATTTGCATACTTAACATCTTTAAAGCTAATTCTTAAAATCAGGTTAATTTATATAGAGAAGATAAAATTCTGTAAGAAAAAAATGGACCTTTAGAGTGTACTACTCATCTAAAGAGCTTAGCACTGAATAAGATTAAACCAAGAATTCTGTATCTCAAAATATAATTATATGTGCGTGAGCTTCACTGTTCTTTTGGCTTGCGCTATATTGAATTCAGGGTTTTGTGTATGTTTGACAAGCCCTCCAACATTGAGCAACATCCCAGACAGAAACTTTGCTAATGTTTGAAATGAAATGTAAATCTCAGCTTCTATTATGGGGATCTTCCAAACAGCAGAGGAAATTCTTCGTTTTTCCAACAAACACAACATTTCTGCATCCACTTCTGATGGATCAATCAGGTGTCAAATGGACCTCTCAGATTTTGCCATTTCCTGTCCTGAAGATTTAACTTTAATTCTGTGTTTAGAGAGTATGGCTACAGATAGAACTCTAGTCCCTGGGTGAGAAATCAGGTTGAAGAAAACACTCAAGTCAGTCGGGCGCTGGTGGCTCACGCCTGTAATCCTAGCTCCTCAGGAGGCTGAGATCCGAGGATAGTGGTTCAAAGCCAGCCTGAGCAGGCAAGTCCATTAGACTCTTATCTCCAATAAACCACTCAGAAAACCAGAAGTGGTGTTGTGGCTCAAGTGGTAGAGTGCCAGCTTTGAGCTGAAGAGCTGAGGGACAGTGCCTAAGCCCAGAGTTCAAACCCCATGACTGACAAATTAAAAAAAAAAAGAAAAGAAAAAGAAAAACACTCAATTCCCAGTCTCACTTTGGGCTGACTCTTTTGGTCTAATTCTTCAGATGGCCACATCATCTACGGTGGAAAGGAAAAATCACCTTGAGCCAAGAATAACCTCCACTGGAAAAGACAATAATTAGACCTGCCCTCTACTACTATGACTATGACTTTAATGGTTATGCCTTCCCTTGACCAGAGGGTGACTAAGGCAGATATTTATATTAGAGCTATTTCTATTTGTGAGTTTAATTAAATATAGAGAAGAGTATATTTACATAACCAGAGCTGTTTTCTTAGTGGAAGAGTTTTAGCTGTTTCACTTTCTGCTTCAACTCTAAGCTTTCTCCCTAATTCAACCATATCAGTCTTCATGCAGTGTCTGTAGTCAGTATCATTCATATATTGTATGGAATGCATTGATATTACAACATATGAATTTTTCCTGTTTTCCATTTATGTCTTATTGTCTATTTGTCACTAGGCCTTACTGGTTATAGGTGAAGAATATATAGATAGTATAGAAGAAAAATATACAGTGTATATATATATATATATGTATATATATATAAATACACATAGAAGAATATATAGAATGTATCTATGCATATGCAGATTAGATAGATAGACAGATGGCTAGATAGATAGATGGAAAACTTCTTTAATAAAATTCTGAAAAGCCAATACATTTGTATTCTAGCTGAGTCAGATATATGACCTCTGAAAGTTCATACACTAATTAAACTCATCTGAAACATATTTTCAAAATTTAAACAACTTAGGGTATTACATTTATTTATATTTTTATATAGTCTAGTAAATAGCTAAGCTACTGCAGACAGTTAATAGCTTTGCAATTCATATAGTTCATATAAATTGGTATTTTAGATATGGTGATCTATAAGCAGATTCATCTGAATAAAGCATAAATTTTAAAGTCAATATAGCTTAGTGCATTTGGGGATGAACACTAAATACCTAAGTAAAGGTACTTCAGAGAAATCAAACTATTTTAGACAGTTGATTGTGAATATGTGTTCAGCTTAAAATAATGATCTTAAAAGTTTTATATTAGTTGAGATAGGTCTCTCTGCACATAATTTGTGAAAAGTTTTTACATGAACATGTATGAACTTTGGGTCTGTAAACTTATTTCTCCCAGTATCATTTCACTGGAATGTTTTTACTTTTTGTGCATGTTCTGGGGCTTGAACTCGGGGTCTGGTCATTGTCCCTGAGCTTTTTCACTCAAGGATAGCACTCAACCACTTGAACCACAGCTTCACTTCTGTCTTTTTGAGTAGTTTATTGGAGGTAAGAGTCTCCTGAACTTTCTTGCCCCACCAATTGCAATCCTCAGATCTCAGCCTCCTGAGTAGCTATGAATGCAGGCATGAGCTACCAACACTTGGCCACTGTGGAATTTTTCAGTGGACCATTTTATTATCATTTCTGTTTAAGAAAGAAAATAACTTTCAAATGACTACTGTTTATTTCTGGGCCTGAGAGGAGCCAAGGAATGAAAGACAATTCCCCAAACCCACAACTCTTGTATCATTTATGTTCTTATTTCTGTGGCCACACAAATTCCCCATAATTATGATGGTGCTAGAAATACATGAAGATGATCATTTCCTGCTATTGTGTCAGCTAGCTATGGGTGAGTTTGGTATATGGTAATATGCATTGCCAAGCCACTCTGCTGACCAGCATTTTCAGGGTCCTGATGGCTTCAGTGTCTCAGGAAACCTGGGTCAAATTGTGCATAACTGGTATTCTGAATCCAAACTATATAGTCATAAAAATACTGCACTTCTGAAAAAAATAGTGCACTTCTGGTTTGCTGTGTACTTAAAGTGACACGATACCCTCTAGTTTTCAAAGGCCCTCTTCACAAGTAGCCCAGCAAAAATGGCAACACTTATTTTTAGTTCTAGTTACTTTCCTTTGGTTTACAAATTTAAGGGCTGTTTCTCCTTTTCTCACAAGCTTTCTGGTGCACTTCCTGAATTTTTCTCTCTTTTTGCAGTTTTTAGGCCTTAGTTGTATTATAATTATGCCACATGGTATGACCTGTGGCTTAGGTCACTTATCTTGGTTACTCTTCAGCAAGATTTTAGTTGTTTTAAGTCTCTGATTATGAAGTAAATTTCCCCCTATCAATAAGAAGACTCTGAATTAAGATGTAGAACTAAGTCTGTTATAGTACTGAATCAACTATACTTGTGAAAATCAGCAAACTTATCACTGGCTTAATTGTAAGCATTTGATAAAATGGGTCCACTTTTTAATTTTTGTGCCAATACTAAGGATTCAACTCAGCCTACATACTACTCCTAAAGCTTTTTCTCTCAAGGTTAGTGCTCAACCACTTAAGCCATAGCTTACTTCCAGCTTTTTGGTGGTTAGTTGGAGACGAGTCTCATGAAATTTTCTGCCCAGGATGACTTTGAACTGCCATCATCAGATCTTAGCCTCTTCAGTATTTATGATTAACCCAGCCAAAATGTCCCCCCCTTTAAAAAATAAATATCAATTAAAACACTGAAACTCAATGTGTCATAATATTTACCTTATTGTTACTCTTGATTGACCCTATATAATTTTATTCTCTATGTTTTTCTATTTTAAAAGAAAAAATAGATATGAGCTTTATTTTATTTTACTCAAAACATTTTTTACCGCATGCAGATTTTTCTGTAAGTAATTGTTCTGTCTGAATTTAACTGAAAGTTGAATAGAGGTGTTTTCACATTAAATTATATCCACATTCAACCATAATGTTCAAATGTTAAGTTTACTGCTTACCTGAATTGGAAATCGCTTCAGTGGAGGATAGAAGAAGGCATGTTTGTAAAGATAATATCGTGGCCTGTATTTAAAGATCTGTGTAGACAAAATTATCATTATATGTTCATGTTTTATGTACAATAATTCTAGAATAAGTGTGGGTCAGAGACGTATGCCAAAGTTAATTACCCCATTTTCTTCAGAATCTTCTAATTTGATTCTTCGGTGCAAATTTTTCATCTGTTTAAAAGAAAATTTAATTACTACATGTATTTTCATTTCCATAAAAAACAAAATAAAAAATACTCCAAGATTTTAACAATGAACTTACTGAGAATGCGCAGGCCATTCCCAGAATGCTGAGCAGTATTAAAGCAGTCTTCATTTTGGTGATTACTTCTGTAATTAATAGCATGGTAAGACTAATAAATATTAAAAACTAAGTGTATGACTTTTTGCTCATATTCAAAGATAAAGTATTTAATTTGGTTTCAATTTTAATTATCATTTAGACTCATTGAAACTAAATTTTTAGACTATAGTTGTAGCTCAATAGTAGAGCACTTACATATCATGTTCAAGATTGCAGGTTCAATTCCTAGCACTGCATAAAGGAAAACTATCTTTCATATAATTGTTATAGCTTGGCTTTAACCATCTGTTTGAATAATCTCGAGTTCCATATTTGATTTTAGTTTGTTTTGCAGTAATTTATCACAGAATACCATTGCATTATTATAAGAGGCTTTGAACATTCAAAAATATGCCATGAACCTGTGCTCAAACCTATAATCCTAGTTACTCTAGAGGCTGAGATCTGATGATCACAGCTTGATAAGAAAGTCTGTGAGACTCTTATCTCCAAATAACCAGCAAAAAAGCTGGAAGTGGAGGTGTGGATCACCTGGGTAGAGTGCTGTCCTTGAGCAAAAAAGCTAAGGGACAATGCTTAGGCCCTGAGCTCAAGCCCCAGTTTTGGCAAAAGCAAACAAAAGTTCTTCATTCTAAGATGAGGGAGCCTCTCAATAGTACTTAGAAGGGAATGTCAATACTGCAAAGAGGATTATTGAATTGTTCCTGTAAGCATGAGCTGTTGGTTTATAATTCAAAACCAAACTATACTTCAGGACATTTAAGTATTATTTCTGTGGAATGATCAAGAAGTTTATAACTTCTAGGCATAGGTTTTAAACTAACCACTCATTTTAAAAATAAAGGGTAGGAGACGGGAAAAAACCAACATATTTTCCTGTGAATATCGTGTGTGTGTGTGTGTGTGTGTGTGTGTGTGTGTGTGTGTGTGAGAGAGAGAGAGAGAGAGAGAGAGAGAAAGATTTATTACTAAACTTATCTATCATCTTGAGTTGAAGCACACTTGCATTTAACTAACAGAGTAGTCTCATACAGAGACAAGTTGGCAACATTTCAGAAGCAATTTCCTCTGTAAAAAGGGATGGTAGGGGAAAAACAAAAGGGATAGCAATGCTCGATAGCAATTATACTCATGTAACTGCAACCCCTCTGTACAGTATCTTTACAATAAAAAAGCCCCTCAAAAAGTAATATTCAAATGCACAAAACTCATTTCAGGCATTGTACCCTGAAGGTAGATTTTATATTTTGTCCTCACAGAAAATGCATTGCATGGAGAAAGAGTAGCTATAATCCTAAAGTAAACATTGCAAGGAGATGCCTGGAGAAACTGTCTCAGATCCAGAGTTACAGTCTAGCAGTGTGGCCAAGTGGTCTTTTGATTGTGATGCCTATATACCCCATCACAATCATCTCTATCTCAGTTAAATTGTGTTCCATAACCACAGGAGTAAAGGAGGTTTGTTCCTGTAGGGAGTACACATGTTCAAGAAGCTTAAATATGGAGTGCTTTGAAAATGCTCTCTTTTGTTCTATACCCCATCAGCAAACAGGAAGATTTATTTTTCAGCTCTATAAAAATGACTGGGATTTATTTTTGACAGGGACACTTTTGATATTTAAAGGGTTTAAAAACATAAATGCTCAGAAAGAGGGGTGACAACAGAAATTCCTTGTAATAAGTCATCATAAAACCAGAAGAAAATATGACAAGTATACTTTTAAAAGTGCCAAAATGGTTCATGTAGATGGGACCTGGCGGCCTATTAATCTTATTTACTTAGTGATTCATCAAAAAGCAAATACCTCTGTAGTGATTACTAAGGAAACAACCCAAACATTCCTAAAAGGATAATTTTGAGAATCTAATCACAAACTTGTTTTTAGGAGGCTATAAATTACCCCAGATTTTCTTTGTCTAGTGCTATTTTTCACATTGATTTTAGGATAGGATAGACTTAGGGTTGAGCTCCAATATATAATATATTGAGAAGCATTATACTTGAAGTGCAAGCTACATATATTTTATGGAGAAGTTGCATATAGCTAGGCATATTTGGAAATGCAAAAGTATTTGTCAATTAATCTTGAATGCATCACAATGAGAAAACGATTGCTTATGATAGACATAAATAAAAATGAAACAAAATTTTCAATTCCATATCTTTAATATTGAGCTTTTTACATACCAAGGTTAACAAGCTTAGCTTTCTGCAAAGAATCTAATATCAAAGGCACTAGTTAAATAGCAAGCAAATATTATCACATAACCACAATGCAGTAAGGTCATGTTTAATGAAAAAGTCAAAGCCAGGTCCAGAGATGTGTGAGCTAATGAACACAGTAAATCTTACCTTATGGTAGTCCTGGAACAAGGAAGTTGGCTGACAAGAGTGAGTGGCACAGATTGTTTCTCTCTCTGTGTCACTCACTCATTCAACTTGCTCATGCTGGCTATAAACCCTTGTTTGCCTTTCAGCAACCAATCACTGACCTAGCAAAGGTGATGTCAGAATGTGGATTCTCACCAGAAAACTCCCAAACTTCAACACTTTTTCAAAACACAGGCTCAGTTGAACAAACATCAGACGTGGTCTTAGTGCCAAGAAGTTTGCATTGTGGAATTTAATTGAAGGTTTAGATGAAGATGAATAGTTTCAGTTAGGAATATATATATAATAATATGCTGGACCTGAATTAAAATAAATAGCAAAAGATTAAACTATTTAGAAATTTCATAACGAGATGAAATAAAATACTAAGAGAAAATCTTTGTCTACAATAATATTTTAATAACTATTTTTATTTCTTGAAATTGCTTAGGTGACTCACAAAACTAGTGTCATTAAATCAGTCAGACTTACAAGATATATTTATTAAATCACAATACAGAGTGTAAGAGTTAAATTTTGTCTGGCACCATTAATTCACAACTGTAATAGTGGCTACTCAGAGAGTAAGACCTGGGGGATCACAGTTGAAAGCTAGCCAGGGCAAAAATGTCTGTGAGACACTATCTCCAATTAATCATAAAAATGCCTGACTAAAGGTATGGTTCAAGTTGTAGAGTGCCAGGTATGCAAGAAAGCTGAGCCTACCAAGGCAGATTTTATCTGATTTTATAAAATGAACTTCTTCAGGTTATCTATTTTTGTGGCTTTCTTTCTTTCTTTTTTTTCTCTTTCTTTCTTTCTTTCTTTCTTTCTTTCTTTCTTTCTTTCTTTCTTTCTTTCTTTCTTTCTTTCTTTCTTTCTTCCTTCCTTCCTTCCTTCCTTCCTTTCTTTCTTCCTTTCTTCTTTCCTTTCTGTCTTTCTTTCTCTCTCTTTAAGTAGTTGAACAAAGGAATTTACATTCTACAAATCAGTTTATAAGTATAATGCATCTTGATCGATGTTACCCTTTTCATCCTTCTCCCCATCCCTCCCAGCCCAACCCCTCCATTTAATTTCATAGGATAAGCATTGAATATTATGACTTTATGTCCCATCACTTATTTTCTTCATTGGTTTACACCCCTCCCCTGGACCCTCCACTGTTTAACTACCAGTTTCCTGTCATTTTGTTAGACTCTGCCTTCCTTCCTTCCTTCCTTCCTTCCTTCCTTCCTTCCTTCCTTCCTTCCTTCCTTCCTTCCTTCCTTCCTTTCTCCCTCCCTTCCTCTCTCCTTTCTCCCTCTCTCCCCCCTCTTCCTCCCCTTTCCCTATCTTTCTTTCTCCTCTTTACTTTTTGGTACTGGAGATGGAATTCAGGGCACTCTACTACTTGAACTATGACTCCAGACCTTTTGCTTTTAGTTTATTGTTAGAGAGGGTCTCTTGCTAATTTTGCCAAGATCAGTTGGGCTCAAACAGATTCTTCTACCTCCACCCTCCTTTACCAGCATGTCAGACCTCGAGAGCTTATACAGTTAATCCTTGTGGGTATTAGAATTTTACTTTTAATTTTTCTCTCTATATCTGTGTATATACACACACACACATGTATTTGCTGATAAACTCAGACAATTTCAGTACTTACATAGGCTGGCTAGAATATAGTCAGTGGAAGTAGTATAGGTGAGATTAATCAGACAGACAAAAACAGATAATAGAGCTGTAAGTTATCCTCTGTAGAACTATCGTGAAAATTGAGAATATCAAAGGATTGAAGCAGAAAAATAATATAAGCAGGTTTTCAGTTTGGGATTTTTTTTGTCAGTCATGTATTTTGAACTCTGAGCCTGGGCTCTGTCCCTCAGCTCTTCAGCTCAAGGCTAGGGCTCTATCACTTGAGCCACAGCATCACTTCCAGTTTTCTTGTGGTTAGTTGGAGATAAGAATCTCATGGACTTTCTTGCCTGGGCTGCTTTGAGCCATGATCCTCAGATCCCAGCCTCCTGAGTAGCTAGGATTATAGGCATGAGCCCCTGGCGCCTGACAATTTGGGAAATTTTTTGTACTAGCGTTTGAATGTAGGGCACACCCTGGACTATGACTCTCCTATTTTAAGCTTCTCATCAAAGCTGGGATGGTAGACACACCACCACACTTCCCTTCTTCCACTGAGATAGAGTCTTACATTTTTTTCTGCCTAAGGTGGCCTGGAACCATGAACCTCCCAATCTAAGCTTCCCAAATAGGATGACAGTCATGAGCCACCAGTGCTGAGCAAGACAGGAATTTTATTCTTGAATGTCCCACTTAAAGACTTGGAATTTCAAGATAATTAAACTTGAAAATAAGGATGTTATAAAAAAATAAGGGGTGGGGTGGGGGTGGGAGATGGGAAGGGAAGACAAAGGAAGAGGCAACAATGCTTGATAAGAAATATACTCATTACCTTGCCCATGTAATTGTAACCCCTCTGTATGGTACTTTCACAATAAAAAAATCCAAAAAAAAGAAAAGAAGGATATTTTCACCAAAGTTCAAAAATTAAAAGATCAGCTATGTGTGTTTCTCTATCATCCCTAATGTATTCTATGCAAATAATTGAACTTGAATCTGGTCAAGCCTCTATATATACCAAAGGAAA